TTCTTCCAAGAAAGAAACGTGAGTTTTGGGGGTTTTCTTGAAGAATAAGGATTTATACTTTCTTCTCCTTTTTGGACTGGGAAGACATCTCTATAAGTAGGGATTCTTCTAACCTAGAAAGAGAATTCAGTATTCTATACGATACTTGCCCACCCAAGTATTGAGAGAGTTCAATTGTTAATTGGGATCACTGTAGAAGACTGTAGAGCTGGAGTTGGATTTGCTTCAAGATATCTGCACACGCTTCAAGAGGTAATCCTGAGTTAATTTTCAGCATACCTTGTATGTGATACGTATTTGTGATTGTTGTCTATACTCATGCAAGATGTATGATTCTGGAATGCTTCCGCTGTGTATGCTATTTTCTAACAATCCTAACTCCAACTCCAACTCGAGCAGCGTCTTACAATCCCTAAAATCATTCTCATCTCTTAAATCACTTACTTATGAAGATAGTGATCTCACTGCTCCGACCACAGTTTACAGTAAGCTCAACTCAATATTTGTCTACCTTACCACTTTTTCTTTTGAAATATGAATAATTTGTAGTTTCTTATTTTTGACTCTATCATATAAGCATTAAGAAATCTGAGCACGCTGGAGTACCTATACTTGACGGGATCTTCTTTAAATGACAACTTTCTCCCAAACATTGGACAAATGACTTCTCTTAAAGTGTTCAGTATAGCTTTTGGTAGCAATAATGGCACCCTCCCTAATCAAGGTAATGTGCTTTTCTATTCTTTTATCTAATGCCTGCATTTCATGAATATAGGTTTGATTTTCTCGATCATGTTCAATTAGTCATATATTTTGGAAAACATTTATACTAGAAAAAAAAATTCCTTAAAAATGATTTCCCTAGATGAAAGTAGGAAAAAACAAAGTGACATTCACATTCCTAGCTCCAACACACCTCATATTCACCTTCCTCTCACATTCCAAATTATTTGTTTAGATTATATACAAATATTTTTAGAATACAATTTTTTGCTTACGTACCAAATATAAGAAAATATAACAAAATCCACCTATTTTTCTAAAAACATTTTCCTTCGTATCAAACACACCCATAGACATAAAAATAAATAAATAATAAGATGTGGCTTATTGTAGAAAGTTGTTTTTAGCTAACTATCTCTTAACCTATATATATAGGTTGGTGTGAACTCAAACACACTGAGGAGCTGGATTTTACCGTTAATAATTTTGAGGGAGCACTGCCTTCGTGTCTTGGAAACATGACATCACTTCGATGGTTGAGTTTTTCTGGGAATTACTTCATGGGAAATATAGCGTCACATTCTATTTGGAGGAGACTCACATCACTTGAGTACCTCGATATTGCAGATAACCAATTTGATGTTCCTCTGTCATTCAGCCAATTTTCCAACCAAACAAAATTGATCTCCTTGGATGTTGGTTATAATACAATAATTACAGATACTGAATTCCAAAATTGGATCCCAAATTTTCAGTTAGAGTTTTTTGGTATCGGGGAATGTATAAGTCTTCACAAATTCCCTTCTTTCCTTCACTACCAATATGACTTGAGGATCCTTGTTATATATGCAAATCAATTGGCAGGAAACTTTCCAACATGGTTGTTAGAAAATAACACCAGACTTGCAGCGATCTATGGTGACGATAATGCTTTCAACGGACCATTCAAGTTGCCATTGAATCGTCACCTCCATCTAGAGACGATTGATGTTTCTAATAACAAACTAAATGGATATATTCCAGCAAATATGAGTTTAGCCTTTCCGAAGCTTACTTTTTTGAACATGTCAAAAAATAATCTTGAAGGCCCTATACCTTCCAAGTTTTGTGGCATTCATTTAGAATTCCTAGACCTTTCTGTCAATATCTTGTCTGGAGGAGTTCCTAGTGATCTGGCAATTGGTTCTCCACAATTGTTCTACCTTCGGTTGTCAAACAACAAGCTTAAAGGAAAAATATTTTCGGAGGAGGTCAGGCCACATATATTATCCTTTTTGTATTTGAATGACAATAACTTTGAAGGACCACTACCTAGCAACATTTTTCTCAGATCCCTTATTGTACTGGATGCTAGCAGGAATAACTTCACTGGGGAGATTCCAAGATGGATTATGGATAATACAAGATTATTACAGCTTGATTTGTCAAAAAATCTTCTCGAAGGTTTGATTCCAGTTGAAATTTGCAATTTGAAGAGTATATATGTTTTAGCTATATCCGAAAACAAGCTTTCAGGCTTTATACCTTCTTGTGTGAGTTCTTTACCTCTCGAACACATCCATCTTGAGAAAAATCAATTGGGTGGTGAATTGGGACATGTACTTTTCAACTTGTCTTTTCTGATAACTTTGGATCTTGGGTACAACAATTTTACAGGAAATATCCCACACACCATAGGCTCTCTTAATTCTCTCAACTACCTTCTCCTTAGGAATAACCAATTGGAAGGGCAGATTCCAACTCAGATTTGTATGTTGAACGACTTATCTATTGTGGATTTATCTTTCAATAAGCTTTATGGTCCACTCCTTCCTTGTTTGAGTAACTTAACACAAGCCAAAAAGGATGCACATCTAAGAATGGCCTATTATGCTACGACTTCTAGGGATTCATGGTTAGCCTTTTTGGGCTGGATACGTTGGAAAAGGCACTACTACGATCGTCATGGACTTATTACTACCTCATTTTTGATGGATGTGGAAACTCAGGTCCAATTTTCAACGAAAAGAAACTCATACACTTATAAGCGAAGTATCCTAGAATATATGTCGGGTATTGATCTTTCAAGTAACAGATTAACCGGTGAAATTCCAGTTGAGCTAGGGAACATGAGCAATATACACGCACTGAATCTATCACAAAACCATCTCATCGGAAGAATACCATATACCTTCTCCAATCTACAGGAAATTGAGAGTTTAGACCTTTCCTACAATAGATTGAATGGGAGCATTCCTGTTGATCTACTTGAGCTGAATTCGTTGGCAGTATTCAGTGTTGCATACAACAACTTATCAGGTGCAGTGCCTGATTTTAAAGCTCAATTTGGAACTTTCAACAAAAGCAGCTACGAGGGAAATCCTTTTCTTTGCGGTTATCCATTAGACAACAAGTGTGGGATGAGTCCTAAATTGTCAAATGGAGACGAGGAATCATCAGAATTGGAGGATATTCAGTGTTTTTACATTGGCTTTGTTGTGTCTTATGGAGCGATCTTGTTGGGATTAGCTGCAGCGCTCTGCTTCAATCGTCATTGGAGAAGAGCATGGTTCAGGATGATAGAGGCATTGATGTTTTATTGTTACTATTTTGTGTTGGACAACATAGTTACACCCATCAAGAGTAGATGGTGCAGGAATGTTGGTTAGGTAGTTGTTATAAAATTTTGATGTATGTTTGTCAACATTATTATGTTGTCTTTCTCTTTTATCAATACTAGATGGAAAAGGCCCGGGGCAAGCACGGGCCCAATAGTCAAATTAAAATTGTCGAAATTTGTTCAGTGAAGCAGCTATACACTTGCTATGCTTCTGAAAATACTAATATTAATGACGCAAGGGTCACGGTTTCTACAAAAGATGGTTAATATTATATACAGGAATGTCAGAAAACATTTGTCATTTACATAGAAAAGCGAAAATCAAAATTCACATAAAATATATGATCATAGACTCATTCCCAATTTGGCAATACCATGAGGCCATAAGTACATTGAATTTCGAATGACACTGCTATTTACAACTAAAAATGTTAATATAATGGGTTTAATGTCCTATATAACTTACACCCCAAAATGACAAATGTAAATAATGATGATACAATTTGCAAATATACTTTAAAACGGTGCCTTATACAAAATTTCCATGGCAAGTATAATACCATATAAGGAAAAAAGAGTTGGTGTTCTCAAGTTTTCTCTTTGGTTCTCTTCAAGGACAATCCAAATGTCAATATGAAAGTTCTAACTTATTGCTTCAATTTTTTCCAATCACGGGTCAAATCTAAAAGAACAATAGTCACAAATAATTAGGATATGCATTTTCCATGCCTCTCGACTTATTAACTTGTTCAGCTAGAGGTCACAAGTATTAACACATAGATTACAAATTGGGGTCGGCTATATGAATCCTCATTTGCTACACGTTATACCTCATGGCAACTTTGTTGGGAAAACACGAACTAACACAAAAATATATATGGTCAAAGTGATGGAAATTAAATGGGAAAATAATGACACTAAAAATTTTACGTGGAAACCCTTTTTAATAAGGGAAAAACCACGGGTCAAGAGGAGCAACTGATATCACTATAGTAAGGAATTTTACACTGTGTAGTCACGAATACAATACTCAAAATGACTACTACACACTCAAAAGGAATAACACTCATTTGGTTTTCACCTTACTAAAATATCGCTCACACTCTATTTTTCTTCACAGACTACTTTTCTTGTATAGTCTATGGAATACCTCACTTTGCTCTCAAAATGGTGTTTTCTCTCTAACTTGGTGTGTTTGGAAATGAGCAAAATGGCTCTCTATTTATAGGAGAAATCTACTCCTAATGATGTCACCAATGACATATAAAAAATACCAAAGTTTCAAACTTTGCAACTA